TGTATTAAGATAACATGAGTGCCTTGTACATGATGGTTAATCCAGTTATGCATGCTCGAACCAAACATGTTGAAATGGACTATCATTTTGTTCGTGAGAAAGTGGCTAGGGGACAACTTTTTACTCAGTTTGTGAAGTCTAAGGATCTGCTAGCTGATATTCATACCAAAGCCTTAACAAAACAGGTTTTCTCAGGTTTTCGCAGCAAGCTAGGAGTTACAGTTCCTTCACTCACTAGCTTGAGGGGAAGTGTTGAAGGAAGTTTGAAGACTGATGGAACATGTCGAAGGAACAAGTCCATCGAAACAGGCTGACGAGTTAGAGTTAGAGTCATACTAGGACTAGACTACTAAATCCTAAGTTATGTACGACTAAACTACTGTATATTGCAGGAGTCGATTAGGATAAGGCATTAGAGTTATAATACAATACTACTCATGTAAATAATTTAGGGGACAACTTTTTACTCAGTTTGTGAAGTCTAAGGATCTGCTAGCTGATATTCATACCAAAGCCTTAACAAAACAGGTTTTCTCTGGTTTTCGCAGCAAGCTAGGAGTTACAGTTCCTCCACTCACTAGCTTGATCCAAGAAACAGACCACAGTAGCCCGATCGAGTGTTGAAGCTGAGTATAGAGCACTAGCCTCCACTGCTGCAGAAATGACTTGGATTGTGTATCTTCTTCATGACCTTGGAGTGTTCCTTCGATCTATTCCTACGTTGTATTAAGATAACATGAGTGCCTTGTACATGATGGTTAATCCAGTTATGCATGCTCGAACCAAACATGTTGAAATGGACTATCATTTTGTTCGTGAGAAAGTGGCTAGGGGACAACTTTTTACTCAGTTTGTGAAGTCTAAGGATCTGCTAGCTGATATTCATACCAAAGCCTTAACAAAACAGGTTTTCTCAGGTTTTCGCAGCAAGCTAGGAGTTACAGTTCCTTCACTCACTAGCTTGAGGGGAAGTGTTGAAGGAAGTTTGAAGACTGATGGAACATGTTGAAGGAACAGGTCCATCGAAGCAGGCTGACGAGTTAGAGTTAGAGTCATACTAGGACTAGACTACTAAATCCTAAGTTATGTACGACTAAACTACTGTATATTGCAGGAGTCGATTAGGATAAGGCATTAGAGTTATAATACAATACTACTCATGTAAATAATTGTGTTGTAGTAGGATTCCTAGTATAACTAGAATAGGACTCTTCTCCTATATAAGGAGCTTGTAACTCAATATTATTTTCATTAATACAATACTTAATTTCTCTAATCCTAGACGTGAGATTGCTACAATTAATAACTAATAAAACTAATTCATAACGTATAAATCGAATTGAATCACCGATAAACAACTTTACGTTTGATATTGTTTCTTCTTGTTAGTAAAAGCTATTGATTATAACGGAACACAAAGTTATTCTATTTCGAATAGTTGAAGGTTAAAATTGTCATTTTCACTTGAGTGCGACCCAAGCCCAGCAGATTGCTTGACCCGAATCCTGCTCCATCTCTTCCGTTGTTGTTCTGGCCGCCATTTTTGTGAATTGGAGTTTTCATGGAGATTATGGAAAAGCATTCGTAGTTCGATTTATACAGTTTCTTTTGTTCATTGTAAAATTGAGTACAGAAACAACAATCTTTCAGCATATTACATCCACGATTTTTTCTTCAGGTATTCCGACGAACTTCTGTTTCCTGCTTTCGTTTCCTTTTCCCTTTTGTTAGTGTAGCGGCCGGAGGCGGAACTAGAGTATTAGTTTACGAGTTTGGTTGAACCTGATAGCTTTATGCCAAATTGTGTATTTGTGTTAAGAATCTAGTTATTTTTAACAACAAACAAACAACTAAATGTCCCGGGGATTATTTTGTTGTAGTTACTGCTCAGTGCTCAGTAAGCTTTGTTATGCTTTCACTTCGGTTGTGTCTTTTTGGATTGTTTTTTCTTGAGCTGAGGGTCTATGGAAAACAACTCACCATCTCTGAGGTCGAGTAAGTTCTGCGTACACTCTATTCTACTTTGTATAACTACACTGGTATGCTGTTGGGTCTACATTATGTATGTTAAAAATCTACTTAAATATATCAACAAACAAACAACAACATGCCCAGGGGATTATTCTGTTGTAGTTACTGCTTAGTAAGCTTTGTTATGCTTTCACCTCCGTTACTTCTTTTTGGACTGTGTTTCTTGAGTTGAGGGTTTATGGGAAACAACCTCACTAATCACTATCTATGAGGTTGGGTTAATGTTTGTGTACACTCTATTCTCCCAAGACCTTACTTTGTGGAATTACACTGGGTATGCTGTTGTTTTTGTTAGTCTACACTGGGTAGGTTGTTGGGTCTTGGCAGGGTGGGTGTACACATACCTTACCCCTATCTTTGTGGGTAGAAAGACAGTAGGATTTCTATGTTTGAAGAGTTTTTTTCAAGGATTCATGGGTTTCACTTTCTTGACTTGATAAAAGTTGTTGTCTTTTTTTAGTTTTGTGATGATGGATGTGGAAGAAACCTCAAGTTTGCCTCTGCCAGATGCTTTTCTTGATTTTCTGAATCAACATAACTTGGATCCTTCTATTTATACTGCCACCGATTCTATACCTCGTTATATAAGGTACTTTTTGCAACTTGCAAGCATGTCTAGTGCATTAACTCATTTTCTTTGTTAACATAATGTCTGTTAAATGTGATGTGACTAAATAAGTAGCAAATGCTGTCAGTTACTTCATTGTATGAATTCACCTTTAATTTCCAATGACAATTAGTAAGTTGGTGGTGATACTTTTTTACTTTTTGAGATAACAGTGGTGTCTGGTTCAACTTGGGTGCATTTCGACTAATTTATCGGGTTCGTACTACTTTCTATTAGTTCAAATACCGGGTAATTCTCTTCACCAATGCTTAAATAGATGATACAAAATCACCTAATGGTTTTTTGCCATGATGATAAGTAAGGAGAATAGAGTGGTAATGCTTTTTTCTTAATAACCGTGGTCTCAGGTCCGCTTGCACACATTTTGACTAATTCAGGTACTTACTACCTCCCACCAACGCAAATACTAGATAATTACGTCCACCAAGGCTCAGACAAATAGTAAGAAATTACCTCACACTTCTTGCGCATGTTGGAGTTTTAACCCCAGTCTCTCCCATGGTTCAAACTTCATTGGTGTTGCGACATGCGCAACACCCTTGGGTGCTAGAATGGTGGTACATTTGAAGCTTATTCCTTTTCAAGTTAACCGTTTAGAATTGTTACAACTTACAAAACCTGTCATAATCAGCCATAATTGATGAAGTTTATGCTTACATATATCTCAATTCAGTTGAAAAGTCTATACTCCTGTTCCTGTTCTTATTTATAGAATCACATAATTCTAGTTAGCATTGCCCAACTTTTATACTAACACATAATAGAGATATGTTTACTTGTAGCAACATACTGCCTTCGGGTGTATAGCAAGCTTGCTGAAGGAAACTTGTGTGATGGAAGAGTAATAATCTTAATGTGCATTTGGTACAGAGGAAAACATTTGCGTTAGATTTTTTTTTTTCCATAAAAAAATCGTTTTTTTAAAAATTAAAAATCTATTTCCACCATGAGAACTAAACTTTTTTGGATCATTTTCTAGTGTTTGGTTGTGTATAAAAGTAAGTTGTCTATTGTAATCTACAGAATGTTGTATATGGTACAATGATAGTGTTTTCGTGATATAACTAAAAGTAGTCAACAATGCTTACCTGTTGATTGAAGCAAGTAAAATAGTTTGGATATTTGCAACTGATTTCTGTCCAGAAATAAATTGTGTCATTTTTTTCCTGTTGGTAGAAGATATTTTTCTCAGAGAAAATATCTTCCACCAATTCAAGATGACGAAACATCAGAAAATGCTTTCATTATGAGAAAATTTTCCAGAAGAACAGCATTTTCCTCTAACCAGTCACACTCAGGATATTAAAGGACGTGCCTTCACAAAAATAGATGTAAGAGATCTTCCGCAGACTCATGCTTGCACATTCTTTTCTTCTTGAAGGATAAAGCCCGGTTATGAGGATTTGCTTGAAGAAATTGAAAGTGATATTAGATGCAAGCTTGAAAGAGTTTGTTGGTTGCCCAACTTTTATCATCTTCAACCTGATGTTCAAATTGCTAGTTCGAAGGCATACCAAGAAGGGAAGGTGAGGAATCTTTTTAATAATGTCTCTTGGTGAATATGATACTCATGAGTCTTGAGATTATTATTCAATTTCCAGTATGTCAAAAATGCTCTTCATGGCATTTTTTTCCCTTAACATTCTCTAAAGATTAGGCCAGATAGAAGTTTGTCTCCTGCTCCTACAAAAATATACTACCCCTTTTTCTCTCTCCAACACTATCTTTATTTTTTTTTGCTATCCCCCGCAATTGACTTGTTGGCTTTGTGGTTAGGAGAGTGTCGGCTAAGCAAGATTTACCCCGTTGTGATCAGCTTTATATTGGAACATTCCTAGTCTAATGGTTGATTATAATATATGATCCATTCCATTATAGTTGATGATTTTGAGTAATTATTTTGTCTTTGTATCCAGATGTATGGAATTGATGCAGCATCCGGAGCTGCTGTGACAGCTTTGGACATTTCAGTTGGGGATCATGTCCTTGATCTTTGTGCCGCACCTGGTAATTCCTGACTTGAATATGGAAAAAGTAAATTTCTATTATGGCTGTTGATTTTGGCACTTGGTCACCTCACATGTTACTAAGAATTTTGATTTAGGGCACAGTGTTAGCAAGAGGTACCTACCTTATTATGGATCTGTCAACAGTATAACAACCTAGTGCTTCAAATAATTTACTACGATAATAGCCTAGGCGACAAAGAGGAAGTTCTGAATGGTGAATAAGTGATCTCGTGCTTTGGATATTAAGAAATCTTGAGAATAAGTGGATGCCTTTAAAAGTATATTATTGAACAAATAATAGTGTATTCATTAAAATAACTAAAATTCCTGGATCTAATCTTTTTTTTGACAAGTGCTGGACAAGGCCATAGCTAAATGAAGTATGTACTATATAGATATGAATTATTCATAGGCATTTCTGTTCAAGTGTGAAAACTGAAGATTCCTTGATCTCTTTAATTGATCTGTAGAACCACGTGTTTTTCTGAAGCTCTTAAACTTCCAAGTACCATGTATAGACTTCTGATACAGCATTCCAATTTGTAACTCATTTGATATCTTCTTTTAGGTGCTAAACTTTGTATGATGTTGGACATTCTTGGCAGTTCGGGTTCTGTGACTGGTGTTGACATTGCAAAACATCGATTAGCGGCCTGTAGAACCATGCTACAGAAATATAGTCTTGGTGATCATTGTCGTCTTTTTGTTGCTGATGGAACCAGCTTTTCCCTTCTCCCTGTCAGGGTCCATTCAGGCTCTCCGTTGCAAAATGAAAATGGTAAAATGATTATCATTTAATACCCTTTAGTTGCAGATGCTTCTTTATTTCTTAATAATTTTTGTAAAATCTTTTTGGTCATAGTCTTATTCCAAGGTATTTTGTTTGTCTATTAATCTAGCGGATGAATTTGCTTCCGGAGAAAAATCTGAAGTATATCGGGAGTGGAAGTCCCGCAGACCATGGAAAGAAAGGAAGAAGGAAGCTATAGCTAGAGAAAAAGGTGTCTCCAAGCTATTCTCACCAACTCAAGAACCAGAGCTTATATTTTATGGCCGGTATTCTGGGGTGGTTGGGATGAGAAAAAATGAATTATATCAAAAGATGCCTATCAGTGAGGTTTTGCAGCTCGGCTATGACAAGGTACACCAAAGTTCCGAACCTCCAGATGTTTTCTATTAACCTTAATTTGTTTTTTCCCTGACTTGAAGGCTTATTTTCTTTTTCTAAAAACTTGATCCTCATCAAGTCAAGATTATTGTTTTGGTTCCTATTCAACAGTACGAACGGCTTTAAGATATTTTCTTATATTTTCCTAAATAACTACTGACTAGTTTGAGTTTAAGTCAGGTTCTTGTGGATGCAGAATGTACCCATGATGGTTCTATTAAGCATGTTCAGAAATTTGAGCAATGGGGCTGGACAACCTTCCAGCGCCGTGTGCTAGATGCAGAAAGAACTGATGATCTGACTGTCCTTCAGGTGCTGAAGTTAGCTTGTTTTTCCAGACCTACATATATATTTTACCTTGAAAACACTGGGCCAATTTTTGCAGCTGATACAGCTACTGATTAACAACAGAGATTGGCTCATAGCTTGTAAAAATTAGTATAATTTGGATAATTATGCTTAGTTCGTGGCGAGTAGTAGTTTGAAACTGTTTATATAATTTATGTCTAACCTCCTTAATGATAATTGCCTTGTTACTAGAAAATAATAAAATGAAGTATAACAGTAGATCAGATGAATAGGCATATCAATAATTTCATGGCACACCTTCAACTTACTGAGGAGACCCTAGATAGGAAGGTATGAAGGTCGAGGATTAGGATAGAAGGGTGGTAGGTAGCCGAGTGTTGTAGTACTTTTACGTGGGAGAGGCAGGGGGTTGTCTCGTTTTATCTTCTCCTTTATTGTTGATCTTATCTTGTATCACATAGTATCTTGTTTTTCTTTTTTAATTTACTACTACATATTACTTCATTTGGTTTGTTTGTCTTGCTATTTTTGCGGTCGTTATTTCCTTTCTACTCTGATTACACTTTTTAAGCCGTGGGTCTATCGGAAACAACTTCTCTACCCCACCAAGTTAGGGTAAGGTCTGCGTACATCTTACTTGCCCAGTTACCCTATATCCCATTTGTGGGAATACACTGGATAGATGTTGTTGTAAAAAAACATGAGAATGTACAGATGCAACTTTGCACCTCTTTGTGGATTTTGCTGGTTTTCTAATTTCTTGTTAAATGTCTGTTGTCTGGATCACATATATACTATACTTGATGCTTTAGATAATTGCATCTTCCTCAAGAATAGTCTCTAACTCTCAAAAAGCATGAGCATACCCATAATGACAAGATGTGAGTATGATATTGATTCTAGGTCTAACCTGTGCGTTATTTGTGAAGACTTTCTGAAGAAAAGGCCATGGAAAGAATTTCAAAAGCAATGTCTCAGAATCACTAGATCTTATCTGGCATGCATATTGTTGCGTGATAAGAATAAAAAAAGACATTTCAAAGCTTATTGCTCTTCGATATTTTTAGAACCAGAATCACAATTAGGTATATCAAAATGAATTTAGTAAGTCACGTCCAAGTTTTGCCATTAATTCAGATGTTTGTTCCAGGTCTTAGTAGCACTTTCGGCTGTAACTTTAGTTTGGAGATGAATTTTATTGTGGGCTACTAGGTAGTAGGTACTCTTTAATTAGTAAAGGTTATAGAAGAGGGTCCAGTCCCAAGCTGTAAATTTTCTTAATTCAGAGAAGTTGGTGACTGGGTTCTATCATCACAAAAAAATTGAGCTTGTTTATTGGAAATGTGGTAGGGAAGATTCTGCAGCTCTATAGTTTTGCATGTAACACTTGTTACTTCTGGAGGATGGGCATAATCTCTCTTCTGCTCCAGCTTTGGTGTCCTCAAAATTATCTCTCATGAATATATAAATCTTTCTAAATTCAGCCACATGTAGTTAAATTTCCACGTTTTAAGTGAATTTTTCTCGTCTTGGTGCTTCATTCCTCATTCAAAGTTCTTCTCCTTGCTCGAGTTCGTTTTTTCCTATGTCTTTGCGCACAATAATTTATCCGTTTCTTGCAGCTGCAACTTCTGACTAATGGATTCAGATTGCTCAGAGTTGGGGGAGCCCTTGTCTATAGCACTTGCAGGTGTCCATCTGCTTGTAATCCCATGGCTACAGATCTTCTTTTCTATCCATTCTATTGATACTCATAAATCCTTTTCGTTGTTTTTGTGTGTGTACCAAATAGTTTAACCTTTGCTCAGAACGAAGATGTGGTCGAGCGGTTCCTTTCGGAGAACACATCTGCAGGTAAAATTTTACTTTTGTAATAAATCTAGAAACTGATAGCTTGAGGTGCTTATAATTTCACAAGCTGGGTGCCAGATATGATCACATATGTGGTTAAAGTTGTTCATTATCCATTGCATATATACCTATAGTGAAGTTGCTTCAGCTGCTTTTTTGAAGTTATACTTGAACCATTCGGAAATAAACAGCCTCTTGCAGAAATGCAGGGTAAGGCTGCATACAATAGACCATTGTGGTCTGGCCTTTCCCCAAACCCTGTGCATAGCGGGAGCTTAGTGCACCAGGCTGCTCCTTTTTATCACCTGGCTAGGGACTTCTAAGTTAACTGGTTTGAGGGGGTTGGCTGAGGCCGTATAATGTAAGTAAAAGTTTAACAAAAGCCTTACATAAGACGGGTTTTATTCAGCTACATTGTAAATCATCATTAGAGTTCATATGAATTGCGTGAAAGACACCGTTGATTCATAGTCCTTGCGAATGAATACAGGCTTTCCTCATCTCTGACACTTTTCCGTCTACCAGCTCCCTGTTTTTTGTTGTATTGATGCAGTCAGTTTTCTTATTTATTTTTCAGAATTGCTGGAGATTACTGCTGCCAAAAATTGGCCATGCAAGAGTGGTCGAATACAAAAAACCTTACGATTTGATCCTTTGACATCTTGTACAAGCGGACTCTTTGTTGCTAAGTTCACAAAATTGGCCATTTAGTCGAAAGAGGTTTGTTCTCTAAACCCTATCCATATCCTAGCGCGAACATCATAGTTGGCTGGCATGTTTAGTATTCTACTTTTACCTTTCAGTTGTGCGGAAACACCTTCATGTTAGTTTATGCATAAACTTCTTATGTATATGATAATCCATGTTTGACACACACTTTGTAGATGGGAATAGCTTCTTCTTTTTTCTATGGATGGAAATGAAAAATCTGTTTGCATCAAAAGTTTTTGGAGTACAAATATGTTTGGGAATGAGGTGAAGTTACTATAAGAGATGTTCTCTTCTTAAAAAAATTTAAACACGAACATGTTATAGACTCGTAAAAAAGAATTGTGTACTAGAGGTAGATTCAGGATTTAAACTCTATTTGTTCAACTTTTGAAGAATCTCTTTATTTCTGTCTTTGGATTGGATTTACACAAATTTTTTCGATATTTTCTTCGGGTTGCTAATGCTCGACGAGGCATGAGTTTTAGTATCATAAGCGTGAACGCAGCGGATTTGAGCTTGGAGACTTGGAACAAAAATCCATTTGTTTGTATCAAGCTTTTGAGGGTCTCATTTTTTGTATTGAATCCATTATATTTTTGAAGTTATGAGTTCATATCTACTATTTGTTGCAATTTGTTAAGTTTTTACACATTTACGTTGTGCGTGAAAATGATGGATTCAAATAAACACGATATTACTTGATTCACCTTTTAGATTCACTTATCAAATTGTACTAGATATATTACTAGTTGTATCTTTATCATAGGGAAATAAGTGTATATATGTAAAAATATAAAAGGAAAAAAAGCACGATTTATCCTTGCGAGATTTGGAAGTGGAGAATGCATAGTGTTTGATGGGTACGTAGGATCAAACGTAAAACAACGTTCGAGTGTAACGAATCAATTTGATAAGAATATATATTTTAAAATATTGGTTAAAATTTGCATAGTTTAATTTTCAACTAATATGAAACAGAAAAAAGTATAAAGTAATGGTAAATAAATGCTAAAACTGATGTAACTCACCCATTAATTAAACTACATTAATTATCTAAACAACGTATTTAACGTAAACAGGGGCAAAACTAAGTTGAACTAAGGGAATTTAATTGAATATCCTTCGTTGAAAAATAATATTACGCAAATCAAACATAATATTTTTATTCTATACTTAATTTATCAAATATTGACGTAAATTTTTCTTTTTTAGGAAAAAGTAACAAAGGAGTTCCAAAAGTTGCTGTAGGTCATATAAGTCCCAGTTATTTTTCTAAATAAATTCCCTTGTATAAAATGAGAAAAAAAAAAAGGGGCTAAAAAGTTAATCAACATCTAATTAAACGATAAATTAAGAAGAGAAAGAAACGATAATAGACGGTCCTACTAAAATGAGTTAAGAATTCAATAACTTTATTTTAGAACTCAGCTAACAAACAAAAAAGAAAAAGAAAAAAAGGGACCACAAAGTCCACAAACCAATAACCAACTTGAAATTTTGAATTTCGCTCTATGTACAAAATGTCAAAAGTTCTATACTCCTCGAGGCTCAAACTAGCTTTTCTTAAATTACTTTAGGTCGCAACGCGACCATCACACGCGATTCAGAAACACTTGAGTCAACAATTTTTTTTGTCGATAACCTTGGTTCAATCAATCGAATATTGATTAATACGTAATCCATCAAACACTACTCCGAGTTTTTCCTTTGTAAACTTTGATCCTCATAGAATCTCTTAATAAATTCCTCAGCTCTTTGCTCCAAACGTTGCCTTTCCTCAAAAGTAGCTTCATCTTCTTCTTCTTCATCATAATTTCTCCAAAATTCTTTTCCATATTCCAATTTTTCTTGGCAAAAAATATTTTTTCTTTTTTGAACTTTTTTTCTTTCATTTTCATGATATTGACAATTACATTCATAAAGACTCAATGTTGATGAGTAACAATTAGTAGGAGGGACTTTTTTTGTAATTCTTTTGCTTTTGGAAGGATTATTTGATGAGGAAATGAAGAAAATACTAGAAATTTTCTTAATAAGTTTGAACAATTTGTGGGATTTATTTCTTGAAGGGAAAGACATATTGTGTATAGAACAAAAAAAACTTTGAAACGCATGCAATATTCTTTGATAAAATTGTGAATAAATGTTAATGTATATGTTATTATATTTAAATAAGGAACATTTAATTAGGGTTTTTAATTAATAAGGGAAGTGATATAACTTCGTATCTTCAAGTTACATTAGTTAAATTCATTTCCATATAAATATCTTTGTGGATTAAAAGTTTTTCCGATGAGGTATGAAAAAATTATCATATATCTTATTAATTTATGTATCATATTTATTAAATTTACATAAAAAATAATTTATTATATATAAAGTACAATGAATATATCAAAATTATTGCATCTTACTAAATTATGTATCATATTTATTGAATTCCTATAAAAACTAAATTTATTATACATAAAGTATAATTCTGATTCAATGTGATATACTTTTTTGTTAAATTATTTATTGTAAAATAAATTCAAGAATGCAATGATTCATTGTAAAAATAAATCCATTATACATAATGTTTGTTGTTTTTTAATAATAAAATATTATTCATTATGATTAATTTTACTAAAAACATTCTATATACGATGGTGAGGGAATAAACTATATCAACGAGATAGGAAATTTCTTGAAACTTTATCCATAATGACTTCTCATTTAAAAGGTGTCATAGAATCAACAATGACACATCAAATACGTAAATCATTATGTGAGTACAAAAGAGATCATTCCACATGCACTCAAAAAGATTTGCAAGAAAAGTTAGAGATGAGTACTAGATTTAAATTTTAACAAAAAACAAAACACTATAGAATCATATTTCACTAAAATGTCTTAGATATATTCGTACTTTTAAAAATTTATTAATTATAATGTTAATGTGATAATATATTTATATAGGGATCTTCTGAATATTATCTTATCGAAAAAAGTGAATTTTCATTGACCCAAGTAGGGCCAGGAGGAAAATATTCTTTTACAGACATTCGTAATTTACCAAGTATTAATTTAGTGAAGTTTTACTGTATATACAAAAATATAGTAAAAGCTTATTCGCATTTGGTTTGGAGGCGGAGCGAGAGTGATTGAATTCAGTAGTTTTGTTTACTATGTATTCTATAATAAAAATGTATTTAATATATGTACATATTATTAAGGGATAAGGGTCTGAAAAATACCCCAACTTTGGTCGGATTTGCTGTTGCGATACTAAACTTTCATAAGGACCTATTACCTCCCTAGACTATTTAATACCGTATTTTTTACCCCCTGAACTTTTTAATAATGTATTTTAAAGGTATATATGTGCCCACGTAATAGGTCCTCATGAAAGTTTAGTATCGCAACAGCAAATCCGACCAAAGTTGGGATATTTTTCAGACCCTTATCCCTATTATTAATCAGAATGTACATATACATTGATATTTCGGCTACATTGGTAAATTAGTTAGTTCCGTAATATTCCCTTACTAATTTAAAACCTAATAACTTGAAAAGAATAAAATCTAAAATCTCCCTTCTTTGCCTAATATTTGACCGAATTATATATTTTATTATGATCAAATAAAAATATTAGGTTAAATATTTATTAATTAACTATGATTTAATGATAAAAATATATATCATATATTCATTAAGTTTAATATAAATTAACACCAAGCGCAGATAAATTTTATTTTTACCATAAAATATATATTAAGTAGTAAAGCTCTAGTCAACCTAGGAAAGTGATATACTTTGGATCTTCGATAAATGAAGTTTCATTAGTTACCTTTACTTTCCATAAATTTTTTAGATACTTTAAGGACTTTTTTTTTTATCGTAATTAAATATTTTTGTGAATTGAAATATTTCCGATGAGGTACACAAAAAATACGGTAAAGATATCATCAAATTTTAAACAAATAAAGAAAGAAACAAAAAAGGGTCACAAAGTCGACAAACTAATAAGCAACTTAAAATTTTAAATTCCCCTCTATACATAAACAGCAAAAGTTCTATATTCCTCTAACTAGCTTTTCTTAATTACTTGCTATTAGGGAGAACTTGAATCAACACTCCTTTTCCTGGATAACCTTAAGCCAATCAATCGAATATTGATTAATTCATAATTAATCGAACACTACTCCAAATTTTATCTTTGTAAACTTTGGTCCTCATAAAATCTCTTAATAAATTCCTCAGCTCTTTGCTCCAATCTTTTTCTTTCCTCAAAAGTAGCTTCTACATCTTCGTCATCATGATTTCTCCAAAATCCTTTTCCATATTGCAATTTTTCTTGGCAAAAAATATTTTTTCTTTTTTGAACTTTTTTTCTTTCCTTTTCATGATATTGACAATTACATTCATAAAGACTCAATGTTGATGAGTAACAATTAGTAGGAGGGATTTTTTTTTCTAATTCTTTTTCTTTGGGAGGGATTATTTGATGAGGAAATGAAGAAAATACTAGAGATTTTCTTAATAATTTTGAACAATTTGTAGGATTTATTTCTTGAAGGGAAAGACATATTGTGTAGAGAAAAAAAAAAACTTTGAAACGCATGCATATTATTTGATAAAATTGTGAATAAATATTAATGTATATGTTATTATTTAAATAAGGAACATTTAATTAGGGTTTTTAATTGATAAGGGAAATAATATAACTTTGTATCTTCAAGTTTCATTAGTTAAATTCATTTCCATATCAATTATGGAAAAATTACAATAATATACAATTTAAGACGACCTTAATTTACATAATATTATTTTAGTCTTTTTATTACAACAATAACATTTTAATTACAAACATGATAATTTATTAAAAAATAATAATCTACATGATTTAAGAACTATTTTTTTTGGTTAGTGAACTGATTATATGTAACTCATATTTTATTTACTTTTTAGAATCCCAATCAGAATTATATTTGAATACATTCCTTTAATAAATATTTCACTTATTAACCTTCACACGAATGAATACCATTGTTGCACTCTTATTTTTTTCGATATTAACGCACTGATTACTACTCTTTCCAATATTTTTTTTCAATGTCACCCTTATCAAGAAAAGGATTGTATCTCTTTCTTGATTAACAAATTGCTTTCAAACTCTTTGTTTCTTTTCAAAAGATCATATGTTACAACACAAAAAATGTTCTTGCTTCTTGAAAAAATCGGTTATGACTACTCCCCGATAGAGTCCTCGTTTGATGAAGTATAATATCAATGTCAACAGTTTGATTGTTTGTTCAACACCAAATTTTCAGTTGATTGCTTTCACCCCTTCTCCCAAAAGTGAATTTGAAATAG